CCGTGTCCCCTGCATCGGCAGGCGGACACGGGTTCGTGCCCCGGTCCGGGAAGATCCCACGTGCCGCGGAGCGGCTGGGCCCGTGAGCCGTGGCCGCTGAGCCTGCGCGTCCGGAGCCTGCTGCGCAACGGGAGAGGCCACAACAGTGAGAGGCCCGCGTACGGCAAAAAAGAAAAAAAAAGAAATTGAGTGAATTCAAAGTCTCCAACTCTTTCTTCTTATTCATTTACTTATTTATATATTTAATCATTCACATATTTATCCCTTTATTCACTTAAATTTTTTTCAAATATTTATTGGATGCTTATTATATGCCAGGCTATTTTAAAAATCAAATTCCAATAAATTATAGTTGTTCAGAGAAATATGTTCTTGTTAAAGAATTTAAGCACCTTTGAAAAATAGTTGAATTTCATAATGCCATTTGCAGCAACATGGATGCAACTAGAGATTATCATACTAAGTGAAGTAAGTCAGAAGGAGAAAGACAAATACTATATGATATCACTTATATGTAGAATCTAAAATATGACACAAATGAACTTATTTACAAAACAGAAACAGACTCACAGACATAGAGAATGGACTTGTGGTTGCCAAGCGGGGTAGGCAGTGCAGGGGTGGGGGATGGATTGGGAGTTTGAGGTTAGCAGATGCAAGCCATTATATATAGAATGGATAAACAACAAGGTCCTACTGTTGCAAGGGAACTATATTCAATATCCTGTGGTAAACCATAAGGGAAAAGAATATGAAAAAGAATTTATATACATATGCATAACTGAATCACTTTGCTGTACATCAGAAACTAACACAACATTGTAAATCAACTATACTTCAATAAAATAAATTTTAAAAAATAAATTAATTTAAAAAATGGTTGAATTTTAAATACAGCTCTTATACACAGTCACATTTTGCTCAGCAATGGAAATTGATCTTTAAGTAATTCAGATTAAAAATGTAATATTTAACTACAGATATATGCCAGTGACTTAAATTTGTTTGAAGATTATTGTGGTTATTCAAAATTTACTAAGCCTCAAGAGCACACTTACCACCCAGCTGACATAGAATTGTTGATAGTTATTAATGTACTGTGAGAGTAAGGCAAGACTCTTACGTAGTGGTTTAGAGGTGTAAAACATTTTATTATAATATACCAGTTGTAAAACATTGTGTAGTACTACTCATGGTAGAAAAAAGTTTTCCCCTTGACATCATCTATTCCCTTGAGTAGAGTTTGGCTATTTATGTGTGACTTGCATAACTGAGAATTTACTGATCACAAAAACAAGCAGTTTTATACAGAGCGCATTTATAGAAATCCTAGTTAATTCTCTTGGTTAAACTTTTAATTACATCCAGTTATTTCCTGTTAGTTCATTGAAAAAACTAACAAATAACCAAGTGACGACTAGCTAGCATCACATCTTACAAGTTATTTTTTGGGAAACACCAAAATAATTAAGACATTGTCTGCAGCTCTTAAAGAAAAATTAAAAATTATTTTTATTTCAGATGCGATCTGTGAGCCGAGTCTTTAAGTTTATTGATATGCCAGCAGAAGATGGTAAACCTAACAAGTCACTGAAACCATCCAAGGATGGCCAGCTCTCAAAAGTTATGATTATCGAGAATCATAATGTGAAGAAAGATGACATCTGGCCCTCAGGGGGCCAAATGACTGTGAAAGACCTCACAGCGAAGTATATAGACGGTGGGAATGCCATATTAGAGAACATTTCCTTCTCAATAAGTCCTGGCCAGAGGGTGAGATTTAAACATTGCTTGCTTTGTTAAACCTGTGTTCAGTAAGTGAATTTCAGTAGCCTAAAGCAATGTGTTAGTAGAATCTATTTGTAACACTGTTATTGTAGACTAGGACCAATATTGAACACAAATATTTTCAAGTTATTATATGAAGTCATTGTTTCATGTGAAATATACTTTGCAAAATCCTGAGTCTATATAATGGAACCATTTTATTCCATTTTATTTTATTTTTGTATTAATTTTTATTGGAGTATAGTTACTTTACAATGTTATGTTAGTTTCTGCTGTACATCAAAGTGAATCAGTTATATATATACATATATGCACTCTTTTTTAGATTCCATTCCTATTTAGGTCACCACAGAGCACTGAGTAGCGCTCCCTGTGCTATACAGTAGGTGCTCATTAGTTATCTATTTTATACATAGTAGTGTATATATGTCAGTCCTAATCCCCCAATTCATCCCAGTCACCTCTTTCCCCCTTGGTAAGCATGAGTTTGTTTTCTACATCTGTGATTCTATTTCTGCTTTGCAAGTAAGTTCATCTGTACCATTTTTCTAGGTTCCACATATAAGCAATATTATATGATATTTGTCTTTCTCTTTCTGACTTACTTCACTCTGTATGACAATCTCTGGGTCCATCCATGTTGCTGGAAATGACATTATTTTGTTCCTTTTTATGGCTGAGTAATATTCCATTATATATATATATATATATATGCCACATCTTCTTTATCCATTCCTCTGTCAGTGGACATTTAGGTTGCTTATACAAACAGCTCATGCAGCTCAATATCAAAAAACAAACAACCCAATCAAAAAATGGGTAGAAGATCTAAATAGACATTTCTCCAAAGAAGACATACACATGGCCAAAAAACACATGAAAAGATGCTCAACATCACTAATTATTAGAGAAATGCAAATCAGAACTACAGTGAGGTATCACCTCTCACTGGTCAGAGTGACCATCATCAAAAAGTCTACAAATAATAAATGCTGGAGAGGGTGTGGAGAAAAGGGAACCCTCTTGCACTGTTGGTGGGAATGTAAATTGATACAGCCACTATGGAGAACAGTATGGAGGTTCCTTAAAAAACTAAAAATAGAGCTACCATATGATCCAGCAATCCCACTCCTGGGCATATAATGGGATCTTTTTTTTTTAATTAATTTATTTAATTTATTTATTTTTGGCTGAGTTGAGTCTTTGTTGCTGTGCACATGCTTTCTCTAGTTGTGGTGAGCAGGGGCTACTCTTCGTTGCGGTGTGCAGGCTTCTCATTGCAGTGGCTTCTCGTTGCAGAGCACGGGCTCTAGGCGCGTGGGCTTCAGTGGTTGCGGTATGCAGGCTCAATAGTTGTGGCTCACGGGCTCTAGAGCACAGGCTCTGTAGTTGTGGCGCACAGGCTTAGTTGCTCTGTGGCATGTGGGATCTTCCTGGACCAGGAATCGAACTGCATTGGCAGGCGGATTCTCAACCACTACGCCACCAGGGAAGCCCTGGGACCATTTTAAATGTGATTCTACTTGCAGAATATCTAATTGATTGCTACCTTACCAACTAAAGAAGCTGTTAAATAAACCAAAGTTATAACATGTTTTATATTTTGCATCTTGAAACTATCTTCCATTTCAGGTGAGGGAAATATTTTGTTGCTGACTCCATCTAAAGTTTTCTTAAATTTTACGTAATTGACACTCTTTCAAACAAGTGGTACTTTTTTTCTTAGCTTTTTCCAATTTTCTTGTTTAGTTGGAGTTTTCATCAAGGTATGGATTGTTAAATTTTTTTCCCAATAATGTGCTAAGTTATAATTATTTATGAAGCAATAATTTTTTATTATTTAATAAGCAAAAATAACCTTGTACTATTTTGAAGTGTTTTTTTATGGATCCCAGCGCTGGGCTGAATTCACAGAAGTTACTCAAGTATACGGATTCTGGAATTGATTCTTAGAGAAGGGGATGGTCATTCTCCCTACATTTTATGCTCTGTAAATGTGATTTTACATTCTCTCCAGATTCCTTATTCTGGGCCACTCTATAAATCTAGCAGGAGTATTATATTGTTTTGATTGCTTTCTTTTCCATTTAAATTGAGATAGAATACAATAGGGCCACTTCTTATGAAAACTGAATTTTATTTTATTTATTTTTTAAAATATTTATTGGGCTGCACTGGTCTTAGTTGCAGCTCACCAGCTCCTTAGTTGTGGCATTCATTTGGGATCTAGTTCCCTGACCAGGGATCGAACCCGGCCCCCTGCATTGGGAACGCTAAGTCTTAACCACTGCGCCACCAACAAATTCGCTGAAAACTGAATTTTAAAACTTCATCTCTCTGTGGTTTAATCTCAAACAGAGATTTTTTTTTTTTAACTGGGGAGATAATGGTCAGTAAGTTTCGTTAGGCCACCATCACTGTCACCAACACAGAAACAGACTGTTTTCACTTGCTTTTGCCCATGGCTTTAGGAATGTTTGATAATTGGATGTATTAGGCAAAGTTCTGATAAGAAAAATGTATAGAGTGAGCAAAAATTTTCTACATCTTATGCTAAATGGCTTGAAATTGCACACTGGAAATTTTGACTTACCTTTTAGTCTAGTTAGGAAAAATATATTCACATACTACTAAAATTAGCTCTCTATTATATTTATGCTCATCAAGAATGAGATTTTTTTTTCTGAGAGAAAAGTATAAATGGGAATAAATGGAAAGACTAGGTTTTAGACTGAATTTTCCCCTAATATTAGAATGAGGTTGTCTAAAGTTATGCTTTGGAACTAAGTAAAATTAATGGTTTGCCTTCATTCTTCCCTTCCATTGAGAAAAGCATAATTAATTACTCTTTCTTGCTTTATACATCAATGAATGCCATAGGCAGCTGAGGGTCACCAGGATGGATGCCAAAATCGCTGTGAAGTTATAACAACAGCAACAGATAGGTTGATCCACAGGAGCAATAGATTTGGTAAATTATTTGCTTTCCCTCCTCCTGACATTCTCCCATCCATTTGCTTTTCCAGTGCTCACTTGCCTACTAAATTAAATACAAACAAGTCCTAGTAGAGTGACAGTGTTTCAGAGTCCTCGTTTTTGTAGGTAGTTTCCTTGATGCAAGAGTAGTAATCAGAGATGCTGTAAAATGAGGAAGAAGCAATATGCTCAGGCATTCCATCTTCTCTGAACCTTTATACAGGAAGCAGGTGATGTGTCTTTGCAAGACACTCCCTAGGTGCTTTGGGGGAATTGAAAATCACTCACATAAGGCTATAGATGTTTATAGAGTGCTTATCATGTCCTAAGCACTGTTTAAAGACCTTTATTTGCTATCACATTTGATCTTATTTTAACTCCAAAGGTAGATGTTATTACCCTTTTTGTGCATAGTGGAAGAAACTAACAATCAGTTAAGTGAGTGAAGTAGCAGGGATCTCAAACTCAGATCTGTCTGACCTCAAAGTCCTATTTTACCTGCTTCTCTTAAAAGAAGAAAAAGAAGGAGCAGAAGAAAGAAGACAGAAAGAGAGAGAGATCTGTCACAGAAGATGTCAATCTAAAAGGGGAAATGTGAAATCCAGTAACAGCTAAAGCAGAATTACTCTGAAGCTAACAAGGCTGAGGTTTCAAAGAACTTCACTTGCCTGAGCCCCTTTCAAGGCCCTGTACATAATTTTGTGTTTATAGTTTTGAAATCTTTATTCTTGAAAAGAGCTCCCCTCCCCCCCCAAAAAATTATACCCTTGAATAAGAGATATATAGATAAAATGCTAAGGTAGTTCAGAAGAGGAAGCAGTTATTATCATTTGGCTAGGAGTTGGGCTATTCAGGGAAGGTTTTCCACAGGAAGTGGCATTTAGAATGAGGCTTCAAGACTTAAACTGTGATTTGAATAATTAAGGTGGGTGAAGAAAGGTGCTGTAGGCAGAGGGAAAAACATGAGGCATGGAGCATGTGTGGAAAACAATGACTGGTTCAGTCATTCGATGACTGGAGGATGCATGAAGGATGTAATTGGATCCAAGATTGGTGCAAGTTGGTGCAGATTATGGATCTTGAGAGCCAAAGCAATAAAGGGAGGTGATAACTCAGAAAATCCTAATTGATTTTGCTACCACATGGTCTTTGAGAGTGTGGTTCCTGCACCAGCATCATCTGTGTCACTTGAAAACTTGCAAGAAATGCATATTTTTGAGCCTCACTGAGCCCTACTGCCCAAGGGGTGGGGACAGTGGTCTGTGTTTTATCACACCTTCCAGGTGGTGCTGACACATGCCCATCTACTTGTGAGAACCCATATTTAAGAGAGTCTTTAGGTGTAGAGGAGTGATGTAGAAGAGTGAGGGTAGAATTCCAACTGTAAAGGCTTAGGGAATGGGTGATTCCTAAATTGAGGGGTTATATAGAACACCAATGTTGGTGGTGGGAGAGAGAAAGCAAGAACATCTGTCTAAGAGGATGGGTATATAGAGGGATTTGCCTTTGTTCTGTAGGAGTAGTTGGGGTTTTTTTGGTTTGTTTTGTTTTGTTTTGTTTCTTGAGACAGGAGGAAAGGAGATAAGTGGAGTTAAAGAGAATCATTGAGCAAAAAGCTGGAAAACTGAAGTTGTTCTTATTAGGCTGCCTTAATATTTTAAGTCAACTTCCAAAATCATCGAAGTTGAGTAGTGTCAGTCCTCTGATTTTGTTCTTCTCCTTCAATAATGTGTTGACTGTTCTTTTGCATCTCCATGTAAACTTTAGAATCAGTTTGCCATATACACTAAATAACTTGCTGGGATTTTGACTGGGATTGCACTGAATCTATAGATCAAGTTGAGAAGAACCAACATCTTGACAATATTGAGTCTTCCTATCCATGAACATGGAATATCTCTCCACTTGTTTAATTTTTATTTGATTTAATTCATCACTTTTTGTAGTTTTTCTCATCCTGATCTTGTGTATATTTTCTTAGATTTATACCTAAGTATTTCATTTTGGGG